TGCATGGGGTCGCTATGAGTCAGAAACGACTGGACGGCACTTAACAACAACAACAATAACATACAGCATTAGGTAAGATTAAAGATGAATATCCTTTAAGGCCAGTATTTAAACATTTGTGAATATAATTAAAAATCCAACATAATAAAACGATCCTGTGAAAGTCACTCTATGCCATTCTATGCCACTTTTTTAGTGTGTCTCATCTTACTTTGCTACAACGGCCCTAATAATGTAAAGACTTTTTCCTTTTAAGGTAAAGATGAAATGAGTTGATATGTATGACATGCCTGTGAATTAGTAAATATTATCTAAGCATTAGCTAAAACAAATGAACAAAACAAAAATTATACAGGTGAAAGGAACCCAAAAAAACTAGTTTAACCATTAAATTTTAGAAATTAGATCAATAGGAAATAAACTCTAGAGAACTTAGGTAACTTAACTAAGGACTATAACTTAGGTTTCCAGCCTTCAGATTCAATATTCTTGCCACTAGTCAGTGTACTGCCAACACAAAATTTTTCCTTAAGTGAAAAGGAAAGTTTTCATCAAATGACCACATGATGGCACTAGATGCACAAAGTAGGAAAAGGAAATCCATTTAGTGTCAAAACTGAACAGACGATTTTTGTTTCAAATATTTTACTTTTAATAACAGAATATTTATACCCCCAAGGACTATCTTGTTTCAAGAATAAAAATTAAATGGTCTTTTCAATTTTAGAATCCTCTTTTTTTTAAATCAAATAGGATGAGCTATGACATTTTCAGTATTTTTATGTCCCATTTTCGTCAAAGACCCCAAATAAGATACAGTCAGAAATGAAGAAGTTGTTTTTCACTAATGAGCATAAATAGATGAATTTAGTTGTACACCAATGGAAATCACAAAGCCAAATCCCCAACAGCCATTCTGAAATATAATCTCAGCTTCTTTCACTAACTTCCAGGGTCTTTATGAAGCAATAAGTTTTGCAAGGTACAGCCATAATTCAATGACTTAAATTTGAAATTCAAACAATATTCCAGTCCATATTTGATTATAAAAGTTCAAGAAATAGCTAAGTATTGTCTAATGTCTCCTGACATTCTCCAATAAAAAAAATATGTTTAAAGATTTTATTAAAGGTTTCTTCAAAGGTACATTAAAGTGTTTTATATTATAGATACGTATAAACTGAGCTCTGGAAATACATTTCTTTGTTATCAAAGAAATACATTTCTTTGATATCATAATTCACTGAAAAACACTATACAATCTAAACCATGTACTAACGTTGTAAAGATAAATATGGCTATCTTCCACCAAATTTGTAGGATTCAATACATGCAAATATATTTTGAGAGATACCAAATATACATACACATATATATGGACACACTGGTATGTATATATATTGGTAAAGACTTCATAAGTTTCAGTGACTTTTATGTGATTAACCCACTTTAAGAATAAGGTTTATGTGACAAAAGATACAAAAAGAGTGATAAAACCCATAAAATATGGACATTTCCCAACTTGTTTTATATTTAACTACAGAGCACTTACAGATTATGTATAAATAGCTAGTATTAATCACGTGAAAAAGGATATGAATGTACCAAAATCTTAATAGCTATTTTCCTAAGAGGATTGAAGGGAGTTAAAATGTACAGGGCAGAGGTGGCACTGAACCGGAAGATGGCCTTCCCTTTATTCAATACTATAAAAGTCTGTAAGACAGGAACACAACATAGAAGTATAAAAGTATAACCATTTAAGCTCTATTGTTACTTTCTGTGTTTGCCAAAATGAACTATTTCAATGTTGCACGAGAAACCGGCACAATTAGAACTTTTGAAATATACCCTGAAGATAAGCTGTCATTAGGTCTCTTCTTAACTAGGAGGGAAGTCCAATAGTATCACTTACCTTTTACCTGCTACTTACCTGTGATTTTATTGTGCATAATACATTTGGTCAAGAGAATTAATTGATTTTTGTAATATTTTTAAATGTCTGAATTCAGTAGAAGTCTTATAAGGGTACATATTTCATTTTATTATAAAAATCTTAAAGCACTACATTCCTTTTAGTGATTTCAGCTTCCCCAATTCAAATGTCTTTTAAATCAATCCTGTGGAATGCAAAATCATCCAATAGAACTAACACTATTTTGTCAATAAATAACCTTTTATCATCTATGTTTACAAAATACACACTATCATTCTATTTGTAATAGAAAATAAAAACAACTACCATCGAAATCCACTGTTGGGTTAGATGAATGTGAGCCAATAATTGATTTCTAGAGGCCAAGTTCCCTGGAGAGTATCCATTGACCAGGAGTGCTAAACTGTGTATTGGGATTTCTGAGTTAGCTGACACAGTGAATTGTAGTCCCAAATGACTTCTTATCTCATAAATACCTTTGCACAGAGAAAAAAAGCTGAAAGCCCCTGAAGAACTCAGGATCTGTGACTGTGAATAGAATTGCATTCCAAATATTAGAGATTTGAGAGCAATTGGCAGTGTACAGACAAAAAAGTAAAGACACAACATACAGTAGTGCATCAAGGATTCTTTGACTAAGTGTTTGTTCAAGTTCAGAGAGGGCAAGGGGGGAAAGGAGAGCATTTTTCTCCATGAAGAACATATTTGGGGAAGGAAATTTTAAAGCTTTTCAATTTAAATCTATCTATTCTTCAAAAACTTTTTGTCTTAAGCAATAGATATTGGCCTACATTACATAATATAGCAAGTATTAACTTTATGCTTATTTTCTGCTAAGAATCCTTGATAAAGCTTTATTCGCTACATTTAGACCGCAGTGTGTTTTTAAAAGGTTTCTTGTTTCTTTTTTCCTAGTTCTACCTTCAGGATTTTTTAAAATTCACCTAACGATCCCCAAAAATTAACTGAGCTGCTGTTTGAAAACAGCACTTCCTATCTTTTGGTAGGGAGCTCTGGTGGCCTGGTGGCGTAGTGCCTAAGGCATGTGACTGCTAACCAGAAGGCTAGTGGTTCAAACCCACCAGCCACTCCTCGGAAGGAAGACTGGGCAATCTACTTCTGTAGAGACTACTGCCTCGGACACCTAATGTGGGGTTGTTGTGAGTCGGATCCGACTGGACAGCAGTGAGTTTGGGTTTGGTCTGGTTATCTTTTGGTATGTGTAGAAGTGCTGTAAATTGGGACTGTGAAAGGTAATCTGCAAGCTGTTACTGGTCTAGGACAAGATAAGCACAGATATTGAGGATAAGAGTTTGGAAACTTGTATGGCAATTTGACACACTAATTTTATGTCTGTTGGATCTAATAATAATGAAAAATGAAGTGTTATATTTTGAATGTCTTTGTTTTTCATTTCAATTTTCTAGAAATTACTTTTAATTGCATTTAGAGGAGACTGGGAACTTCATTTTTACCACAAAGAGTTTTATAGGCATTGCTCTAAAACTCTACCTTTTCTTTTTCATCTTTTGAAGGAGGGTTAGTCTAGAATCCACCACTTGTCTGCCAGCTTGTCATATTGTGGTGGCTAGAATATTGCTGTGATGCTGGAAGCTATGCCACCAGTATTTCAAATATTAGCAAAGTCACCCATGGTGGACAAGTTTCAACAGAACTTCCTGAATAAGACAGACTAGGAAGAAGGACCTGGCAATCTAATTGTTAAAAAAAAAAAAAGGCCAGAAAAACCTTATGAGCATCAGCAGAACACTATCTGATATAGTGTCAGAAGTCAAGTCCCTCATGTTGGAAGGCACTCAAAATACAACTGAGGAAGAATTGCCTCCTCAAACTAAGAGTTGCCCTTAATGATGTGGATGGAGTAAAGCTTTTGGGACCTTCATTTGATGATGTAACACAATTCAAAATGAGAAGAAACAGCTGCAAACATCCACTAATAATTGGATTTTGGAATGTATGATGTATGAATCCAGGAAAATTGGAAGCTGTCAAATTTGAAATGAAACCCATAAGGATGGACTGGTATTGGCCATTTTGAATCAGTCATATGGTCTACAATGCTGAGAATAACAAATGTAAGAGGAATGGCATTACATTCATTGTCAAAACGAACACTTCAAAATCTATTCTGATGTACAATGTCATCGGTGATAGGGTAAAATCCATAAGCCTACAAGGAAGATCAGTTAATATAATTGTTACTCAAATTGATGCAGCTATCATTAGTGCCAGATAAAGAAATTGAAGATTTTTACAAAATTCTGCATCTGCAGAAACTTGCAATCAAGATGCATTGCTAAATACTGGTGATTGGAATGCAAAAAGTTGAAAAGAAAGAAGAAAGATTAGTAGTTGGAAAATATGGACTTGGTGATAGAAATGATGCCAGTGATCAAAATCTTATAAAATCTTGTAAGACTAATGACCTAAACTTTGGAAATACTTTTTTTTCCAACTTAAAAAAAAAAACAAAAAAAAAAACACCTCACTGCCATTGAGTCAGATGTGACTCATAGCAACCCCTCCTTGGGTTTCCGAGGCGATATCACTCTGGAAGTAGATTGCCCAATCTTCCTTCTGAGGAGTGGGTGGTGGTTTTGAACCACCAGCCTTCTGGTTAGCAGTCAAATGCCTTAGGTACTACACCACCAAAGCTCATAAACAGCAATTATATACATGGACCTTGAGACATATAGGAATGAAATTGCTACATTTTTGGAAAGAATCAATGAAGAAGTTCCATATCATAGGTTAGAACAAGGCTATGAGCCAACTGTGGAACAGATCATCATTTGTTCCTATGTAAGTTAAAGCCAAAACTGAGGAAAATCAAAGCAAGTCCACAGAACCAAAATATATCCTTAAGTGTATCTAATTTGAATTTAGAGACAATCTCACAGAAAGATTTGACTCATTGAACACTAATGATCAAAGACCAGATCAGTTGTGGGATGACATCAAGAACATCATACATGAAAAAAGCAAAAAGAAAGGAGAGAAGCAAGAGACCAAAGTGTATGTCAAAAGAGACTCTGAAACTTGCTCTTGAACAGAGAATAGCTAAAGTGAATGGAAGAAATGATGAATTAAAAGAGCTGAACAGATTTCTATGGGTGGCTCAAGAAAACAAAGTAAAGTATAATGAAATGTGCAAAGACGTGGAGCTAGAAAATGAAAAGAACATGTTTGGCATTTCTCCAGCTGAAAGAACTGGGGGAAAAAAAATCAAGCCTTGAGTTGGAATACTGAAGGATTCTATGAGGAAAATGTTGAACCATGCAGGAAACATCAAAAGAAGATGAAGGAATACATAGTGCCACTGTACCAATCAGCCACTCCTGGGAAGGAAGGTTGGGCAATCCTACTTCCGTAGTGATACTGCCTCGGAAACCCAAGGAGGGGTCGCTATGAGTCGGGGCCGACTTGACGGCACATAACAACGACAACAACAACAACAACTGTACCAAAAAGAATTGGTCAATGTTCAACCATTTCAGGAGGTAGCATATGATCAAGAACTGATGGTCTTGAAGGAAGAAGTCCAAATTGCACTAAAGGAATTGGTGAAAAACAAGGCCCCAGGAATTGATGGGACACCCATTGAGATGTTTCAGCAAATGGATGGAGCATTGCAGGCACTCACTTGTTTATGTCATGAAATATGGAAGACAGCTACCAGGCGAACCAACTGGAAGAGATCCACAATTGTGCCTATTCCAAAGAAAGGTGATCCAACAGAATGCGGAAATTATCAATGTCATTAATATCACATGCATGTAAAATTTTGCTGAGAGTAATTAAAAAATGATTGCAGCAGTACATTGACAGGGAACTGCCAGAAATTTGAGCCAATTCAGAAGAGGATATGGAATGTGAGATATCATTGCTGATGTCAGATGGATCTTGGCTGAAAGCAAAGAATATCAGAAAGATGTTCACCTGTGTTTTATTGACTATACAAAGGCATTTGACTGTGGATCATAACAAATTACAGATAACATTATAAAGAATGGGAATTCCAGAACACTTAATTGTGCCCATCAGGAACCTGTACATAGACCAAGAGGCAGATGTTTGAACAGAAGGAGGGGATACTGCAGGGTTTAAAATCAGGAAAGGTATTCATCAAGATTGTATACTTTCACCACACTTATTCAATTGGTATGTTGAGCAAATAATCTGAGCTGCTGCTGATGGAGAAGAATGCAGCATCAGGATTGGAGGAAGACTCGTTAAAAATCTACTATATGCAAATATCACAGCCTTGCTTGCTGAAAATCAAGAGGACTTGAAGCTCTTTCTGATGAAGATCAAAGACTGCAGCCTTCAGTATGGATTACACCTCAACATAAACAAAATAAAAATTCTCACCACTGCACCAATAGGAAACATCACCATAAATGGAGAAAAGATTCAAGCTGTCAGAAATTTTATTTTACTTGGATCCATAATCAACATCCATGTAAGAGGCAGCCAAGAAATCAATCCACATATTGCCTTGGGCAAATCTGATGCAGAAGACATGTTTAAAGTGTCAAAAAGTGAAGAAAACACTTTGAGGACTAAGGTGTATCTAACTCAAGCCATAGTATTTTCAATGGCCTCAAATGCATGTAAAAGTTGGACAATGAATAAGGAACACCAAAGAAGAGTTGATGCCACTAAATTGTGTTGTTGGTGAATAATATTGAAAAATACCATGAATCACCAGAAGAATGAATAAAATCTGTCCTAGAAGAGGTGCCGTCAGAATGCTCCT